TGTTGGCAGTTTTCTCAAAAAATGCTTGAATTCAAGAAGTTTTAGATTTGCGTGATTTTTTTTTTGAGTTGCAAAATCGAATTGACAGATCTCCAACCAATAGAAACACTTTCATATCATCGTACCATCGTATAAACAGATGCATGGGACACGGGCTTAACTTCGGGAAAAGCACGCACCCGCTTTGGAATCTTTATTGCCAAACCCAGCTAAAGTTTGCGAATTTTTCCCTAAAACTCTGATGACGGCGCTAAAGCGAAACTTCCAGCTCTTGTATGGAAAAGTGTGCTATTTGTAAGGCAAAAAATTACACCTGAATCTCTCTTCGTCCACCCACACTGGAGGTTTTGCTTCGATTTAAGCCCGTGTCCCATGCATCCGTTTGTACGATGATACGATGTTACGAAAGTGTTTCTATTGGTTGGAGATCTGTCAATTCGTCAAATCGACAGATCTCCAACCAATAGAAACACTTTCCTACCATCGTATCATCGTACAAACGGATGCATGGGACACCGGCTTAACCCTCCCCACTTATCTTCATCTATGACCCTCACACTGTGATTATAGCGCCAAACAGTGAGAGATATTGACTTGATCGAAAAACGCAATGAAACAAAGAAGGTGAAGAATATGAATCGGGTGTTGAAAATGGAGAGAACACACTGAAATCGGCTTCGTGAATAAGCAAAGACTTATTGAAAGCTGCAGTTGAGGTTGAAGGAAGAAAACCTTCTGGTGGAGAGTTTGCCTGCAAATAGCCCGTTACCAATGGAAAGCCGTTACCTAGTTAAAACTTTCAGGGAATATTGATGGAGAGTCCATTGGTGCTCCAAGGACCTTAAAAGCCCCTATTCTATTCTCTAATCTGGAATAGAATCGGATCATTTTCTGGCAATGGGCGCAACAATCTGCGCTGCTCCCATTGTCCAATCAAGGCAAATGTTGGTCCCATTTTGCGAATGACACGTGTAATTCTACCTGAAGCAAGGACGTTTATTAATGTTGAACGCGCGAAACAGGCGAACATTTTCCTGCTTCTATCTCTAGAAGTAGTGAGCGCAAGAGAAGGAGCGAACATTCAGGATGTCCCCGTTTTATCCCTCCACGGGCGCCCGTTATTTCAGTACGCAATCGCTTTTCCACATGCTGGCCATCGGTCTGGTTGCAGTCGGTGCCCAATTGAATGTCTTTGTAAGATATTTAGTACAATTTTCACTTGGGTTGTACTCATTTCGTCATACGGCGATGTTGATTTTTTGCACACAAAATTAACGTGTTTGTTCAAGTGCACTCGTTGCTATAAAAATTTGTATCTTTGAGTCTAGAGCGGGTAGAAATTTACTGTTTTCATTATTCACAGAAGTGGCATTCAAGAAAATCGCATCAATTATTGATATTTGCGGACTTGATAAAATTTGGTCTAAAAATTAACGTTTTCGCACAAGGAGTGGCCGCTAAAAAACAGATATCATTATATATATACAGGGTTGCTCATTATTGCGTCAAAGTGCGATATCTCAGTAAATATGAACTTTACAAGAAAATACGTCCTACGAAAGTTTTTCATGTTTAAAAGGTCCACATTTTAAAATTAGTTTCCAATATACGGGGTGTATCATAAACGTGTGGTAGTTACCAACTTTGGTTTTTTAAATGGAACCGCCCCTTTTTTCATTCATTTTCAGATTTGTCGTCAAAATTTAAGTTAAGTTTGTGTCAAACGTTTTACCTGAAAAATTTACGATTTCACCCCCTGTGTATTGGAAACCACCCTGTATATTGGAAAGTAATTTTAGAATGTGGACCTTTTAAACGTGAAAAACTTTCGTTGGACGAATTTTCTTGTAAACTTCATATTTACTG